CGACAGAACTGAGGGGACGTGACGGTGACAGCGCGTCCTGAGACCGGAAGCCCCAGGGGAAGACCGGGCTCGGGGGCAGGAGGAGCTGAGTGTGGTTCCAGCTGCGCATTTCAGACACGCACCTGTTGGGGTTCCAGGAACAGAGGCTACTCGGGCTGCTGGCTCGAGACACGGAGCTCAAGTGAGGAAAGGGGGCCTGACAGGTTTTGCTGGTTTGTATGTTTCCTTCCTGCCTTTTTACAGAGCGCTACGTGGTCACAACGGTGTGTTTGAAGACAAATAGGAAGTAAGTACATTTAGCTCAAAACAAGACTAAGGAAAAGGCAGTTCTGCCCCATGGATGTAGCATCAGGCCAAGGGCCAGGAGCCGCTCCGCGTGCTGGGCTGAAGCTTGAACTCTGCCAATTCTGGTTTTCATGCCGAAACGAAAGGGGTGGGACCAGAGCCCTAAAACCCCTGTACGTTCAGAAACACAGCAATTGAACCTTCATCTGAACCTGTTTTGTCACCTTTCATTCCAGCTGTCCTCATCTACAGAAATGAGGACCGTGACCCCGGGCCAGACACACCTTGGCAGCAGGAAAAGAAGAGTGAGAGGGTCTTGGGGTTTCCAGGGCCCATCATTTTTGGGGTGAGACCCTCAGTCCATGAGATCAGGCTGAGAACCTTGGGACATGGGATGAGACTGAGAACTCTGGTCTGTGGGGTCAGAAGGAGAACCCCAGTCCTGGGGTCAAGGTAAGAACCCGTATCAGAGAAAGTGGTTAACCTCAGAGCATAACAGGAAGTAAGGACAGACTGACTTTGCATTCAATGTGAATAGATGTTTTTAAGAATATAATGTGTGCAGGACGTTACAGGGCACCTAAGGCTTCTGCAAAAGAGTTCAATGACTGTGCTTGCAGGAAAGGGGACAGAGTTTTAGGATAATTCCATCAGACCTGTGTGCAAAATGCAACCTCCAAAGAGGCGCTGTGACACTAGGGTCTCCACCCAAACGACTGATGTGACTCCCCTTAGGTGTCTTTGAGACTGGACGGCAGGGTAACACTGTCCAGTTATTAAACAAAAGGCAAGGATTGCAGTTTGTAAAGTTAAAATGTTGGGCAATTTGCTGTCACATCCAAGTGGCTTATTCCATGCCACTGTATATATATAGTTTCTGAAGTCAACAAGGACATGTTCAACTAAACGTTACTTTTCTATTATTAAACATAGTCCTTGAAGGCTTGTTTATCAGGGAAATTGCCTCCTAAACCAGGGCCCAGCTTTCAGCTGCTAAATCCCTTCAGTGAGGTCAAAATAGACCCATAAGGTGACACCCTTCCTGGGTAACCGTGGACCATCCACACTCCTGACACCCAGGCTGCCCAGACCCTGGGACACCAAGCAGTGGCCCCCGAGTCCAGAATCCACTTGCACAGCTTGGGAAAGCTGGCGTTGCTTCGTAGCTCCAGTTTTAAAAGGTAACCTCGAATATTGGCGTGGCGTGGTTTCTCACGTCCCAAGGATGCATACGTATGGAGTTACTTCTGCCCAGAAGACAACTGGGCTGAAGTCATTCTCATGATCCTGGTCTGTTTCTGGACAACTTGGTTTACTGCTGTCATTCTCCTGGGACTAAAAGCTGGATATGGTTGAGGAAAAGAGGCAGGTGTCAAGAATCATGAAAACAGACGGCCGTGGTGGGTGGGAGGAGGTCAGCCGTGTGGGGGCTGGAGGACAGGCACATTACAGGGGTCTATCCATTTCTCAGTGCGTGAGGTTTTCCATTCTAGAAAAAGGGGGAGTGGGTCAAGAAGCCCTGCCATACAGCAGTGCTAGGGTTTCAGGTCCCAGCTTTCAGCAAAAGTGGGATTTCAGGACCCACTTACTGATTTGTAGAGGAACTGTATGTTGTAACCACAGTGTTGGCTGCATTTTAAATATCCTTCCCCTTTCCGCCACAGTTCACCTCTTCCCCTCTAAAACCATCTTCCATAAAGGTCACTTCAGTTGCATTCAACAGATCTTTACTGAGCGTCTATCATGTGCCAGGAACTGTGCTAAGAATTTGAGTAAATCAGGAAGACAATAAAGCCCCATTCCTGCATAAGCTTTTGTTCAAGTGAGATGAACTATAAACAGTCAATGAAACAGACACATTACAATAAATAGACATTGTATACTCTGTTGGAAAGTGATGAGTGCAATGATCACAGGGCAAGAGGACACAGGGCTGGGCGATGCAGTTCCACAGAAGGTGATCAGGGTTGGTCTCATCAAGGAGAGAGCTGACCAAAGACTTGAAGAGGCAAAGGAGCAGGCCATGAGACTGAGAAATAGGGCGACCCTAGCAGAGGGAACAGTCCACGCAAAGGCCCTGAGGCGGGCAGAGCATGCCTGGGGTGTCCCAGGAAGAGTGGGGGAGAGGGTCATCCCAAGTTCAGGCCTGAGTTTGCTCACTACGTGATGTCAGGCAGGCTGTGGAGTACATGAGATTGAAGAGCAAGAGAGAGTTCTGGGCTGGAGATAGCAGGGCACCATCAGCACGACAGAGGAATTTTAAACCTTGCGGCTGGGTGAGACCACCAGAGTAAACCAGGGAAGCAGGAGGTCAGGGCCAAGCCCTGGGCGCCCCATTCTTAGATGCAGAGCGAGGCGGTGGAACAAGCAAAGGAGTGACCTGCAAGTGGAAGGACCAGGAGCACCAGGTGTCCTGGAACCAGTGACCAGAGCGCTAAGATGGGGGCGGAGCATCGCGGGTCCTCAGTGACCTCAGTGAGACCCGTCTGAGGGACTCAAGCACCAGAAACTGATGAGAGGGGATTGCAGACAGAGCAGGAGACAAATTTGGGCAGACAAATATGGAAAATCCTCTTGCGGGGTAAACAAAGCAAAGGGAGCAGAAGCGGGGCAGTGCGGGAAAGGATGCTTAAGACGGTTTGGAAGGTGGAAAGCGACGGCCCGCCTATGCGCACGCGGGGTGTCCAGCTGAGGGGAGGTGGACGGCGAGGGCGAGAGCGAGGCCCAGGCAGGAGTCTTGCTCTCGCAGAGGTAAGAAGAGCTGGGGACGAAGCCCCAAAGCGGAGGGGCTGGTGCCATAGGAGCCCCAGTGGTTCCTTCCTACAGGAGGGGGAGGTTCAGACGCTGGAAGGTGGGCAAGCGTGGTGGTGGGAGACTGAGGAAGGGCCAGATGTGCAGCCTACGTGCCAAGGCAGTGGGCGCTTGCATCCCTGAGGACGCTCCCTGCGCCCCTCGAGTCAGCTCAGGGCCAGGGGCCGCCGCCCTGTGTGTGCCCGCCGCACACGGTGCCCCCCTAGCTTGTCTTCACATCCTATTCCTGCTACTTTTCAGCTACATAACGTTGAGCGAGCTGTTCTTGCTCGCTTTCTCTGCCTCGGTTCCTCACCTGTAAAGCAGGGAAAGTGGTCGTCACCTCCCCGGTGGAGCCGTCGTGAGTACTGAAGGAGGTAACGCCGGGAAAGCCCTGTCTCGGGGCCTGGCCAACAGCACCGTCTCCCAGCAGCACTCCTCCCTGGAGGCCTATGAGAGAAGCCGCCGCGCCACCAGCCAACTCCTCTCCTCTCCCGCTCCGAAACTCACGTTGGGTGTTACCAGAAAAGCTTTGCCTCCTAATTCACGCCTCCCCAGTTTCTTGCTCCCACACACAGGCAAGACCGTGTCCTGGAAGACGACTCCCTCTGGAACCTGCAGTCCATGACAAATAAGTAGTGAGGTCTCTGGGTCTCTTTGAGCTTTTTTTTCACCCTATGTAAAGGCAGGATGGCAGGAGCTCAAAGACCCCTTCAAGTTCTGTAGTCACAAGATAATTTTTCCCTAAAGGGAAAAAAAAAATCTTCATTACATAAAGAGACAAGACGGGGAAAAAACAACGTGTTTTGCAGAAAACCCTTTAAGAACATACAGAGGCTGTGGGGGAAACTGAGCCTGTGCTCAGGGCTCCCTATGGCTGTGGGGTTTGGACGGATGCTGAAAAGACGGACCCTGAGCTAGCCACATCTCAACTACCCATCCCAGTGGCCACATGGACAAGCATACCAGACAAGGTGGACATAAACGCACGACCCAGCCCTACTGCCAGACAAACCTTTCACTCTCCAGACCCATCATTGTCTCCAGAATCCAAGGCAGCCCGTCCTACGAGGGGTGTGGCACTGGCAATATCTGGCTTCGAAAGAGAAACTTACTCCCTGATTTTCCCACCTGAGGTGGCGGCTTTTCTGAACATGACCCGAGCATGTTCACAGCAGCCAGGATAAGGAAACGCATCTCCCAAGAAGCAGCTCCATCCAGGCTCAAGAAATACCCTGCAGACTAGGGTGCCAGACCTCGTTCTGCAGTTCAACATTGCCATGAACATTTTGCAGCAAACATCTCTTCCTGAGTTTGGATAAGAGCTTCGTCCAGCACTTACAAGCCACATGAGGTCTTGGCTTGGAGTGCTGGTAAAGTCCAGTCCTTTAAAGTGAAAAGTAAGAACCGATCATCCAATGACTGGGAGCAAGATGGCTTTGCACATCACATGACAGTGGCTGACGGGCAGAGGTGCCTCCTTTCTACACCACCCTGTAGAACAAGCTCGTACAAACCTCTGGAGAAGAGTATCAAAGGGGAAACTCCACACCACAAACTCAGCTGTTCCCTGGCCATCTGAGAAATTCAAAGGAGCTGAGCTGGGATGAGGTTTGGGCTATGGGCACAGGGAGACTCCCTCCTGGACCAGACCTCATTCAGTTCTCAGTGTCCCAGGGGGTTCTTGAGCGTATCTTGATTTGAGTCCACCTGAATTCCCAAAAAAGCTCCCAGAATCCTTCACAGATGGTAACAACTGCCCCTCAGTCCACACTTGGAGACCTGGAGTGCAGACCAAGGGCATGTGGAGTGAACAGGCAAACAGGTGGGGCTGCCAAGATGGCTGGGAGGAGATGCCACACTCTTGGGGTCTCAGCAGAGGGACCAAGAAGTCTGTACCACGGGCCAAGCCTCATAGTAATTTCTGAGCCAAAACTGTAAAAACTGATTTCTGGCTAGAGCTGGGTGTTTCTTCAAGGATGACTGCAGCCCCTGTAGGGGTATCTTCCAGGATGCGCTTTGCAAGGAGTGGAGTGCCAGGCTGCCAACAGGCTCTCAGGTTAACTGGACCCATCGAAGTGAACAAAGGCAGTTGGCGGTGCGTCTGTCCACCCCAGTGTCCGTACTAAAAGCACAGGGATGGGAGTTGAGGCGGAGGGACCCTAGAAAGGGCCTGATGGATGCCAGCAACCAGGCTGCCCTCAGCCTTCCTCACCACCATCCTCTCCCAGGGAGGCAGCACCGGGGCAGAGAGGGCTGAGTTGGGGGCTGCTGCCTGGATGCTGACAGCACCGGATTCTCATCCCTGCTCCAGTGTCTGTCGGCCCCACGCCTTGGCACAGGTTCCGGTTCCTCTCAAAGCTGCTGTTTCCTTCTGGGTAAAATGGGGATGGTACCACCTGCCACCTCTGGAGGATGCTGACCCCTGAAAGGAGACCACACAGGTGTCCACTGGACACAGTACAACAGGTAGGTACTCGAGAGGTGCTGTCTGTTACCGCTCAGGGCGCCAAGTGGGGGTCCTCGGCCGTGTGTCGCTCCAGGCCCCTCTTCTTCTGCCTCCTTCCCCGCCCCCTCCCTGCCCCCTGAGGAGTCTTAGCAACACCACCCAAGATCTTTCAAAAACCATCACCAGGAGTTGTCCGACGTGTGACCAGATGTGCCTGGGGCTCCCCTCAGCTATGTGGACATTCTTCTTCCCAGGAACTTTCCAGAGCCTGCCAATACTTCAGGATATCTTGAGGCTTGATATGATGACAGGCCACGATCCTCTTATAACGGCACGTGGTGAAGGGTAACCCACCGGGGAAGAAAGTCTGCTCAGAATGAAGTTCCTCCAGTTTGATTTTCAGTTTTTCCAGGCAGAGCCCCACAAAGACATCTTCGAGCTTAATGAACGGGACGCTCTCAGCCACATTGTACACCTGACCCGCCACGTCGCTGGAGAAGACGTAGCCGGTGCCGGAGCAAAAGGGTGGGTACTTGTCCCACGGATATTCCTGTTTACTCACAAACCACTTACTGTACCTACTCCTAATGGGATATTCGTTCAGTTTTAAGTAGCCAGTGAAAAACCGGCTAGTCCTATTTCTCTTGAGAAGCAGCTCGGTCAGATAGAAGACGTTAATAAACATGTCGGTGTCTGTTTTCATCACGAAAGCGGCCTGGGGACAGAGGCGATGGACCCACTCTAAGCCCATCATGGTCTTCAGAGTCAGATTGAAATAAGCGTCCAAGAAGTCCTTCTGGACAACATCGCGGTGCTGCTGGATCTCCTGGGCCACTTTTTTCGAGACGTCCTTATCGGGCGTGGTTCCCAAGAGGAAGAATGTTTTGATTTGTTTTCCCATCACGGTCTGTTCTCTTCCCCAAGTGTTCCGGATGACCATGCGAGCATATGCCTGTTCGGGGGACGAAGTCACCAGCAGGACAAGGAAGGGGGGATCCTGCCTGCAGTCTGTATCTGGGAGCTGAAGGAAGTTCCCACTTTCTTTCTTGAAAACAAATGAATCTTCTTCAAAAGGATTCAGAGTGTACGGGCTAAGATACAGACAAAGGACTCCCAGGACCACCAGGGAAACATAAATCCACCTCATCTTCACACAAGCCATCTGAAAGGAACAAAGTCAAACGGTCAGACCTCAAAAGCAGGAGGGCAAGTTTAGCTTTCCCCGGGGAGGCTGAGATGGGGAAAGAGATCCATGTTTCACGGCTCATGTTTTGAAAACTCTGGAATCTCACTGCACACAGAAGTGGAGTGCTGTGGTCCCACACTGAGGCAGCATCTTTCCCTCCACGGTGGGAGATCAGGACCACAGGGAACTGGGCACTGGTCCTGGTTCCAGAGCTGGCCAGCCTTCACCCATGGGAGCATCAGATTCCTAATCTAGAAGGATACGGAAGCACATCACTAAGTTCTGCCAGTGCTGCCTGGACTGACTCCACAATGGCATCCAGCTGGAGAGCCTGCAAGACTGGAAACCAGGCTTTCTAGCTCTAAAGGATGGGCCATTGGCAATCTTCTCTAATTGATTTAAGCACCATTTCATCACTCCCAGAGAGATGCAAGACCAGTTTTCAGATGCGCCACAACTGCCTTTGAATTCCATTCCTGCTGGCAGTGGCTTTTTTTTGTTTTGGTTTGGTTTTTAGGTTCTTTTGAATCCACC